TAGACTGTCATTCTCAGATACGGGCGGTTGGTCGATGTTAAAAGGGAGATTACTTATGATAATTGTAATATTAACTGTTTCCTTATCAGGAAACATTTAAGTTTCATTGACCAAGGCGTCAGTACTACAGTCGGTTGAAATTTATAAATTATTTCTCTTAAAATAATTCCGAAAAAAAATTTCCAGTATTTGTTATTGGAATTCCTTCTAAACTTTTATCGCCCCTGGTATAGGAATGTTTTGAGGAACATGGAAACGGTCATCTAAAGGTTTGTGTTGTGATTTTCCCATCAATAAGTTATACGGGATGAAGTTATCCCCAGCCTCAACTGCTTTTGTAGGAAATTTCTTAAAGTACCTGGTGATTTCAAGTAGTCCTCTGCAAAAGTACTGACCTGTATCGACACTGCTTAACACCGTTGATCATTTGTGTTTCAGCCTGATTTGCCCGTAATCTAGTGAGAGAAAAAAACAATGCACTTTTGCTGCTGATGTTAAATTCATGTGGGTCCCACGCGAGCCACCTTGACCCTCTAGTACTTATTGTCTTGGGAGAGTGTCCGAAATATCCAGCGTCATATTAATCTTTCTGGAGATTCTGACGGACTACGTCCTTCCAGCAGCTGAGTTGTCTGCCGTGAGATCTTCACCTGTTTGGCGAGTACAACTCATTGATGACTCTAACAGGGTGGCCGTCAGGACATCGCAGGACGAGCGAGCCAACGAACACGTCAGTGAGCAATAGTGTAGGTGTTCATTTAACCATTCCTCCAACGGAACTCATCGGACACAAGATCGTAACAGTACACCTCTTGTGAGTGCGGGACTCGAAGCCAAGGACGCAGGAGTCGAGGGTTTTGCTGGGAGACCACATCTAACCTATAGACCAACCTATAGCAGCATACCGTTGCACAAAACAAATATAGAATAACAAAGAAGACTGTAGAGCAGCATGCAGAGTCGGGTGAAATAGATCCTATTGGAGTTAAGGTTCTAGAGAGAAAAATAAAGGTTGACAAGTAAAGTCTTATGTAGAGATTGGAACAGTTTATATCGTTAATGAGGAAACATACGATGAGAAACGTTCAAGCGTGTGAGAAAGGGCCCTTGAGAAAGATCGATTTAGAAATCAGAGTATTTAATTCAAGGAAAAATAGCAAGGAAAAATATCAAGAAATTGTGAATATTACGCCTACAAAAGCTAAGTAAAAGATTTGCCTACAAAAAAGTTATTCTGACCCTCTCGGAGCCACTTTATAACTGTCGGTTGTGTGGATAGCTAATTGAGGCCGTGTGCTTTTGTTGCTAGAAAGACGTGAACAAACTTGCATAAATGTAAGCTGTTTCACGCCATTTTTATCTTCTGCTTTGCCTTGGCGCCAAACGCAAAGTGAATATTTTTTTTCTCTTTGAATGAGCTTGACGTAAAGAAATGCACTTTTTTATTTGCTTTTTCTCTACAAAAGTCCTGTTTTAACGGCCTTCGGGGTCAATCTGGTGCGCATCTAAGTAGCATACCAAAACAAAGCTGATTACAAAGAATGTTACGTTTGTTTCTCTCACTCTATAGCAAGAAAGCACAAATGATCTACGTGTGCATTTTATGAAAGTCACGAAAGAAATAAAAATTAGGGTCTCTACCCTAATAACAACGAAGTAACGTACTCATTTTTTTGTTCAGTAATGGCTACCTTGAATTTAACATCTTTTTTCTCCGGTTGTTTTAAAGCTATCACCTAAACGGCAGTTTACTTTTGATATGGTTTTGGGGATTTTAGCTCGGCTTTTATTGTAAAGTAAAATAAAAGAAAATGATTTTTTTTTGTCTTTTTTTTGGGGAGTACAGTTTTTAACGGAACAGTATTTGTCAGGTCAGATCTCTAAAAACTTGTGAATAAATTCTTTTATTTGTTTCTTCTGGTTTTCTGTATTTAAAAAAAAATCACAATTGAAAAATCAGTGTTTGTATAAAGATCAAAACAGTCGAACACACTTTGAAGTCTCTGTGGGTAATGCAATCCCAAATAGTAGCGAGGCATTTATCCTGTCGAAAGACAGAGGTGTTAAGACGAATAACAAAAGGATTTACATTTACTCTAGGAAAAGTATATTACCTGAAAAAATTATAATCTTCCCCCGCAATGGTATCGTCTTTTAATAATTCTATATTCAGCGATCATGCACACAGTTACACAAATACAAGTATATATATATATATATATATATATATATATATATATATATATATATATATATATATATATATATATATATATATATATATATATATATATATATATATATATATATATATATGTACTTATATATATATGTGTGTGTGTGTGTGTGTACTTTTTGCAAATCACTAGCGAGACTGAAGTGTCACTTGCGACTCACACACAAGGTTAAATAAACAAAGTTGTCGGAACCTCATACCTCGAAACCGACGGAAGAGTCCATCATATATATATATATATATATATATATATATATATATATATATATAATTATTTATTCAGAAATTATAACATATTTATTTATAAAATCGCTAAAAATAGCCATTTTGTTTCAACACCTCCAGTGTCTCATCAAGTGAAGACATTGGAGGTGTTGAAACAAAATGGCTATTTTTGTAGTGATTTTGAAACCTATTTATGTTATAATTTTAAAATAAATAACTATATCTGCTCTACTCTGTATTAAGCACTCTTTTAAGAATAATAGTTTTTGGTTATCGGAATTTATTCCGTATACACCAATCCTATGCTTGGGTATATATATATCAATTGAGCACTGCTGACTGACAGGCTAATTCTATAAACAACCTATGCTAATGCATAGTTCTTAAACAAAACGAAACAAGAGTAGGGACTATAATTGAATTTGAAGTTTTTATTTTCTGTATTTGAAACATGGTGATTCCAGTGTAGCAATAGAACCATTTTTAAATTAGTGAATTTATGTTATATATATATATATATATATATATATATAAATTAATCTAAATTAATCCAAATAAATTAACAAACTAACAAACCGATCCAGATAAATTAACCGTTAGAAAAAAAAAGGAAAGATAATCAATCCAAATAAATAAATGAAGAAATAAACAAATTCAAAATTGCTCCCACCAAAATAATAGTTAGAATAAATTACTGCAATCAACCCCCAAATTGAATAAATAGCTTTAATTATCGTCCCAAATCAAAATAAACTATTAAATAAGCGAAATGTAATTTAATAATTGTTTATATTGGCAATAATTCCTATTTTATACATGCTTCAAGGAAAGTAGCACTCCAACATTCACAAACTCTGATGTATGGCCCATTAAATTGGTGTTTTCAAATATCTAGCATGAACTTCATTTTCTCAGAAATATGTAAAACGAAATTAATAATTCATAAAAAAATATCTGGCAAGGGCTATATTTTAAAATAAATTCAATGGCAGTTAGAAATCAAATGCGACATTTAAAACCCCTTAAAATTGTGTTTTTAAATATCTAACATGAGCTGTCTTTAAGGATATATTCACAGAGATTTTTAACCGCTTAACATTGTTATTTTTTTCAAAAATTTGTCATAAACTGTATTTTTAATTAGTCACGTAGATTTGTCATTCAAAATGCGGTATTTATAGGTCCTTAAAATTGTTTTTTCAAATATTTAACATACGTCTCGAGCTCCTTGACAAAATCCAGAGACGAATATGCAATATAGGTTCTAATCTGGCATCTAGTCCTCTATCTCTATTCCACAGACTTACTGTGGCCTCCTCATGTCTCTTCTACAATTATTTTCACGGCAACTGTTCCGACGAGCTACTTTCGCTTGTTCTCAGTCTACATGAATTTATATGAGCTAACAAGATGGCATCTTGGCCCCACCCTTTTACTGTCAAAACGGTAACCGTCTCTTTTCTCAAACAGCTTCTTCTCCCGCACTTCCCGGCTGTGGATCTTCTTACCTCTTACTTGATTCTCCGATATCTAAAATCTTCAAGTATTCAAGTGATATTAATCAACATCTGACACCCTGAGCTTGTTACACGTTCTTCTCTGTAATCCTTTGCTCAAACACACTTCTTTACTCTTGTTCTCAGTCCTCTGTAACCCCTTGCATGCTAGTGACACTCCCGACATGCTTGGGTTAAATTACCTTTACAAAATGAGCTGTATTTTTAAATGTATTATTTAAATGTTTTATGCCAAATACGCTTCTTATAAGTGCTTCAAATTGTGTTTGAAATATTTAATATGGGCTCTATTTTCAAATGACTTCACTGAGATTTGTAATTCAAAATGTTTTGTTTCTAACCGCTTAATTTTTTTTTCAAATATTTGGCACGAGCTGTAATTACAAATAATTTCACTGACAGTTGTAAGCCATAATGCGTCATTTAGAGTCAAATTTTCAAATAAATTCACTATGATCTGTAATAAGAAATGCGTCATTTATAGCACTTTAAAATTGTGTTTCCTGGTAGCTGGCCTGTATGTATTTTCAATTATTTGACTTCAAATTTGTAAAACTAAAAAGTTCTTTTTTCTTCACGAATTTCGTATCAACGTTGACATAAGAAGAAAGCCATTGCTCGTTTTACAAGGTTTCTTTTTAATAATTTTCAAATTATTGGAACCGAGAACCATTGTATGTTTCTTTAGTATTCTTTACTGAAAAGACCATTTCTAAAGAGCATTTGTCTTTTATCCTATTCCTTGAAAATGAAAACGCGTGATACACTCCGCGATAGAATTTGTATTTCTGAATAGAAAACCTTTCTATATCCCTGAAGTGATTAAATAACATGAATGATAATTCCTGAAATGTATTTAGTTCAGTGTGAAAAGGATTCAGTATTTATTTGCAGGAATGAGAGAAATGTTTGCACATGAGGAAAAGCAGCTGAGAAAGATTGATAAATCATTGTATAATGTTGGATCGTATGATTACAAGCTACCATTGAATTGAATTCAAGGGCAACGAAGGAGTTCAAGTTTAAAAAATAAACGTTCCTTGTTTAAAATGAACAGGTTTACCTCGTATGATGATGATTATATTAATATAGGGGTACATGTAATTTTGTGTAGAAAGACAACGAAAAACTGGGCGATAAGAAGAGAAGGTGATAGATAGATAGATAGATATGAACAAACTTAGATAGATAAGTAGAGAGTAAGCAGACTGCGATAGATATATATATATATATAGAGAGAGAGAGAACAGAGATAGAGAGAAAGATAGTAAACAAACTAAAATAGACAAAGAGTAGAAAGACTGTGAGGGATAGATAGATAGATAGATAGATAGATAGATAGATAGATAGATAGATAGATAGATTGAAAAAGAATGAGATAGATTGATAAATAAGAGAGACTGAGATAGATAGATAGATAGATAGATAGATAGATAGATAGATAAGAAGAACAAAGATAGAGATAACTTTACGGATGCAAATAATATGAATAAGCCCCACACCCCAGAAATCTTCTGCTTGGAACTATCCCTAATCATAAATTTATAATTTCAAATTATTACAACTTTAATGCCTCCTTAAAATGCAACATTATGAATTGCATAACTATGCAAAAAATAGAAAAAGTGCCTTCAGTCACGGATTCATCTTCAAGTCGAATTATTCAACCGATAAAGAAATGCGATTCTGAGAGAAGTTTGTGAAAATTGAAAAGGACAAAATTCCATATAAACAAAGATCTTTCGTTTTTGAGTTAATTTTAAAGAAATTTTACGGTAGATAGTGTTTGCATTAGACTAGGTTACATTTTTCACTCGTGTATATTTGTGGCTAGTCTTTAACGTTTAATCTGTGCT